CAATCTCAACAGATCTCAGAAACTAAGCTGGGGTCAGCCCTGGTTAGTGTTTAGATGGGAGACCACCAAGGAAGTCCAGGGTTGCTACGCAGAGGCAGGCATTGGCCAACCACCTCTGTTAGTCTCTTGCCTTGAAAACCCTGTGGGCTTGCTATAAGTCACTTGTTGGCACTTTCCACCCTGCCGCGGTGCCAAGGAGTAAATACGTACTTGTGGATTTCACACTCGGAAAAGGAGGCTAATGTGTTTAAAATAGGGCTCTCCACAACCTTGCTGTGAATTGCCACTCAGGGCTTCCCCGAGTTCCTGACCTGCGACCGGCTCCATTTCCACAGGCTGTCAGCTACCTGGTGTGAAGCTTCTATGTGAAGAATGCGCGGGGGAATTTCCAGGGGGGCGGGAATGAAGCGTGCAAAATCCAGGAGAATTTCCAGAGATGTGTCTGAAGGTGTTGGGTCATGGTGGGGGTGCTAAAGCAAAATCGTTTCGGCCCTGAAACTGTGCGGATGGGGCAGACCACTTGGGACCCATCTGGAAGCCCCTCGGAGTTCCCCTCTCTTCCAAGGCATGGCTAGAAGACACACAAATGCCCGTTTGTGAGATAATACACGGCCTTCTGTCACTGTCTTCCGTCAGCGGAGTGAAGAATATTTTTGTTTCCTTCCGTGATCGGTCCCCTCCCTGCCTTGTTCTTTGGTGTCATGGTTAAGAGCGCGAGTTCTAATCTGGGGAAACCCAGTTCGATTCCCCACTACTCCTCCACATGCAGCTGCTGGTGTGACCTCGGGCCAGTCACAAGTCCTCTCAGAGCTGTTCTCTCACGAGCAGTTTCTGTCAGAGCTCTCTCAGCCCCCCCTACCTCACACGGTGTCTGTTGTGGGGAGGGGAAGGGAAAGGAGTTTGTAAGCCGCTCTGAGACATCTTTGGGTAGTGAAGGGCGGGGTATAAATCCAATCTCCTCTTCTTCTTTTACCTCACAGGGTGCCTGTCGTGGGGAGGGAAAGGGAAAGGAGATTGTAAGCCGCTCTGAGACTCCAAGTGAAGGACGGGATACAGATCTTCTTCCTTTTTGTTTTAGAGACGTGTTAGGGCTTTTATATGTATCAGATAAGAAGAACCCTGCTGGACCAGAGCCGTGGTCCATCTAGTCCAGCATATCTCACACTGACCGGTTCCTCTGCACAACCAACCAACCAACAACAGGGCAGAGAAA